ATCTTTTTCAGTTAATGAAAAATCCACTCGACCAACTTACGATTCGATGTTCAATCAACGAGCTCTTTTTTTTTCTTCTTCTTCGTTTTAATTTCAGAATCATTGGTTAATTGAGAATCAAGGATATTGATTAAGAGCGAAGCGGATGGGAAGAGACATGTGAGAAAATTCAGGCGCCAGAGAAATCACGATGCAAGAGAGTTCGTGCTCTGCAACCGGAAACGGTTTATATGGTGCCTGCCCATTTGCACCGCTAAATGTAATAACTTAATGCCATTGCATCCTGTTATAATTCACATGGTTAGAGGTTGCGAGTTATTGTACGGGCGTCGGTCACGCCGAAACTTTTCACACGAACACGGGCCGAACCATTCGTTTATACTTGATCGTCTCGTTCTAATGAATTCTAATGAATTCTAATGAATCATCTTTTTTTCTATTAATTATCCGTTTTATAAACATTCATCTTAAGGATGAATTACTATTGACTGAAGAATTACACAATTTGATAAGAGTCTTCCATTTTATGGAAGTGGTTTGTGTTTGTATATGAAAAATTTCTTATTTAATCAATTTCTTATTTTCTAATTACCGTATTTTCAAGCTTTCGTTTCAAGAATATGTATTATGCAAATTTCGCGCACGGCGTTTTGCAATTTACTTCGAAGGTTATTACGCGTACCCTCACACGTAACATCACTACGTTTTTATTTCATTAACTAAAATGTTAACTCTAAAACGTAGAGTATTTTGAATACCTATGTTTTAATTATGTATTCCAATTATCATGAGTTGCGAAATTTTAGCAAAACCGAACAGTCGTACATTAGCAGGGGAGAAAAGGAGAAAGCAGAAGTTAATTTATAAATGCATGGATTCTTGCAAACACTCTCGTTTATATTTGATCGAGAGTTGTATTAAAAAGAAGGAAGGGGGTGGACAGGGCTAAAAGTTTCGCGTAACGGCGCGACTGGAAACGGTAAAACCGTGAACGAGAGTGTGGGCTCCTCTCGGCAGCGCGGCGCCAACAGATAAATTTACCCTCTCTGTTCTCTCTTCCCACCCCTCCATGAATACACCGACAAGTCTCGTTCTTCCTCTTTTCTAGCTGTTCTCCTTTATTTCTGTCTCGTTTCGTCTCAACTCGGTCGCGCGACCGTCTCTCCACCTTCCTCCTGGTGCATTAGCCAAGGAAATATCTCTGAACTCTCCTTTCACATACCTTAGGCGGCAGTTGAAGGCCTTCGCACGTTTATTCTTTGTGGGCCGACGCCGACTGCATCGCATCGCGTCGCGTCGCCTTGCCTCGTGGCGGGAAAAGCGCGACGCGTTCCTCTTTTCAATTTCCCGCCATGAAAGAACGCGCGAAATTTGAACGGAGCAAAGTAGAAATCCACAGAAAGAGAAACACGAGAGAAACTTTGAATGAAATGAAACAATTACCAAAGTAATAGTAACTTTGTTTACAACACAAGAACCATTAGTTGCGATACTTGATTCTCTATCTATTGTGCAATGTGTACTGTTGGTCATTGAAACGCTTCACACAGAAGTCATTGAAAAACGACTGACTGATAACTTATATTCGTTTACAGACGATAAAACGTGTACATATTTTACACGTTAGCGAATCGACTCTACGCCCGTTCGCTTTGTGTAATTTACCGGGAAGCCAGCTTTATGATCGATGAAACCTTCAACGAATAGTTTATTACCGCTACGAGAATTTCGTTAATAATTACAAAGATATTGTCCATTGAATCTCTGTTCCTGCTTTAGGGAGAACTATACCTACATGGTGAATTCTTCTGTATTCAAAAACAATGAGACTGATGAAGATATACATTTTCATACCTAATTTATCGTAGTAAAAGCATGTACGAAATAAAAATATATTAATTTAAATAAATAATTTTACTGATAAATGTAATTTCAAACAAATGATTATGCATTTATATCTGAAACACTTTTACTGTGAAAATGTTTATTATTTTCTTTTTATTTAGTTTATGTTATGTGAAACTATGCTATAAAAGAAAAAAATAGATTAAACGTTCTCTCATTCCCACGAGATAGCCTCTTCCAGCTAGCGTTAAAAAGAAATCGAGCAGAACTGGACCGAGCGAACAATATTTAATTGCATATCATATTTCTCGCGATACTCTTCGTTATCAGATTAGATGTTCCCATCACGCGTTTAAATGATCACGTTGCGTGGATCTTCGTACCTCTTCTTACGCAATATATCGTATGTAGCACGAATTTATACCAGTCATTTTGGTTTTAGTGCGTAAAAAGGAAAGAAAAGAAAAATTATACTTTCCGTTATAAATGATGTCTCATTTTTTCATCCTAAACATTAAATTCCCTTGATGATTCTATACACACAATTACCTACACTAACAACAAACCATCAATTCGAATATTCAGGATATGCAACTATTCTCCGGGGATATTAATTAATTATACCATGTTTCTCAATAATAATTCGTCGATGATAATATCTGCATATTGTTCGTATCAAACAAAAGGGAAACAAGTTGCCGCTAAACCCTTTCAATTTCAACAAAACAGACTAACGTATCATTAAATAAACGTAACAATAAAATCCCTTCCTCGAAATTTCATTGAAAAGTAACAGCAAAAAAGTAGGTAACAGTATTCGGTTGTTGAAATTCTTTTAAAAACCTAGCCCTAATACAATTTTTCTTTAAATTAATTTCTAAAACAGAACACTTACAAGAACAATTATTTGCCTATTAATAAGATCAGTTAGCAGCTAGATTCCTAAAATAGCCAGGTAAATAAATAAAACTACGAATAAAAAAAGCTGAAAATTTGTATAATATAAGAAGAAATAGAAAAATGAATCTGCGCTTCGACAAAGGTTATCCACGAAGGCGCAGCAGAGTCGAAGAAGAGAATTTCTGCTGCGTGGGCGTCGGATCTGCGTCACCAAGCTCGAATCAGTGTCGTAACGTTAGCTCGTTACTTCGGAAGATGGATAAACGGGACCGTTATATCCAATCAGGATCGGCAACGAGAAGCAGGCGAGCGTATAAAAGGACGAAGAAAGTCGAAAATATTAGCACGCTTGTTTCACATTATTTTCCTTCGTGGATGATTCTTGAAGCTACCGAGGAAAGTCTCCGGAATGGTATTAAAATATAATGGAACTATGAATAATGAAATGGGAGAATTTCTGAAAGTAATCTACTCCTAGAATCGATTTCTCTATTTATACAGGGTGTTTCCAGAAAGGAGTGAATCTATCTAAAACGATAAGTCGAAAATGTAGAATGACATTTTGCGTACAAAACTCCATTTTTCAGTAAATCAATATCGAAGTAATTTATGTATCCGTGATAATCAGGTAGTAAAACGCGTACGATCAATGAAGCCTAAAGAGACTTCAGTTATCAAGAATTACATTCAGCAATGATTTTTACATAAAATTATTCAATGTGAAAAAATGTTTCAATTACATCTACAAAAAGAAGCAATTGAAAAGAAGAACAATATGAAATGTCTGAATTATTTAAATCGAACATCGACAGATATTCGGTCGTGCCAAATTTCCATCAACTTTTAACGAACCCCTGTGAATCTTTCAGAGAGTTCAATTTGGAAGCTCGTGGCTCAAAAACAATAGCTGAAACCGAATCGGAAAAAAAAAAAAAAAAAAAAGAAACGACAAACTAGAGTATACTCTGGTCAATGTTTTATGTGGTTGAAAATTGAAGGTTGGATCGTTAAAATTTTCAATACCCTTATTTTGTAAAATATAGCAGGTAAATTTTTCTTTTTTCTTTTTTCAATTTGATTTTTAAGGTAATATAATTAAACTAATTTGAACAACTAAAGTAATCGTTATTAATGTTGCAAAATTTGCAAAATTTCGACTTTTCAATTCCTTCAATCATAGCGCTTGCACTGAACTGGATACCGGCGATACCGGCGATACCGGCGATACCGGGTGAATGGTACAATGATCGTCGAGAAAGTAACTGCTGATTCTGGGCCTTACATAAGTAGTTTCATGAGTTGCAAACTCTCATTGAAAGACGCGAGCTTTTTCAAAAAGCTTGCGTAATCCCATGTCAACCAATGCATCTAAGAAAACATTACCTAATCACTGGGAATTTCTCCTCTATGCTACTTTCAATTATATTTCAATTATAAGTTATAAATAATTTTATGCAACCTTTTCTTTTCAAGCATGTTATACAATTTTATGCAATTTGAAAAATTATATAATTTGATTAATTACGAAAAGGAGAGTATCACGAAAGAATTATTCTATAAACGATCATATAGGAAAACTTATTTTCGAAGAACAATTTGTTTTATAAGTAAAAAAGAAGAACGAAATAATTCTATAAAAGTTACTGTACATCGGAAAAATAATTTCGTAAAGTTGATGGAATATTGGAGAAACAATTTAAAAGGGTTAATGGAATATTAATTACAGAAATTATCTTTGAAGGAAACTGGCTCGATGTTCCTACGAACAATTATTTAAATTAAACTGAATGTATGTATTTAGTTTTAAACAATAATCTATTTTGTAAAAGAATTTTCGTATAAATCATTATCACGTTAGCAAACGAAAGAAACGCGATGAAAGTATGAAAACAAATGTAAATCATGCTTTATTCGATCTAGTCGATGAGGCGTGTTGCGTTTCGCTTTCTCGCTAGGAATGCAACGATCTTGTCGAATCTCAGTCAGAGATACACGTGTCTTGTGCACCTGCACTAAGTTATGCACCGTATAATCTTTTCACCCCGTTTCTTGTTTAACACGATACAGATTCCAAAGATACTTAAATAAAAACAATGCCACTCAATTACATATGCAATAGAATTACCTATCTAATGAAAATTTCATCAATTAAAATCTTATTTAAAAGTTATAAACACACTTTGATTTGCTTTATTTGGACTAAATAATAATAAATATAACGTTCTAAGGTATAACAAATTTGTTCAATTTCCTACCTTTAACCGCAAATTGCATCAGTCGAGGATCGAGGATCCTCAGCCAGTGATGTTTGTAACCTCCTCCAGTTCACCAGCTGGTATGGAGCTGTTCACAGAAAACACACACTAGTTTCACGGAACAGTCATTTGTCAGGTGTACGTACACTAAACTCGTTATGTGATAGAATGAATCGCGTAAAGAGCCACTGACACGATGTTATCGAAACCGAAAGTGAATCACTACTGAATTGGAATCCTAGACAAGCGTAACGTTTGCCTCGATTTTCTTCTCCAAGGTTATGGACGACGAGCATTGTTTGGGTTTCGATTCAGGTCAGGTAGCTGTTGTGTATCTTCGACTGTTATTTACCTCGACATCATATTTTATTACTTATAATACGGATATAATTCGGATTTAATTCGGATTTATGCGACTTTAATTAAGGATGTTTAAAAATATTTTGCACGACATTAAAAGTGATGAATGAATGGAACAATTCCAATTTGTAATACCTCCCCCTAAATCATTACCCTATCAAATGGTGATTGAGTACGGTAGACAGTGGAGAATGGAATCCACGTTGTTCACGAAACCGCAACGAAACCCGAAAACCCAGTGAAATCCGTTTTCAAAAAATGATTGCAACCATGACCGCGGACAAGGTTTGCCAGGTAACGAACTACGCAATGGTCCTTTCATACCAGCCGCCTGTGGTTACGTTTTCTGATCGACCGTCCATCGATTCGATTAAAAACGGAGAGGCGAAACGGGCGAGGGAACGAAAGAACAGGTTTTTCACCAGGCGTATATAATAATGATAATAATGATAATAATAATTGGGCTTTATACACAATTAATTAATTAATCGTACATAAAATTCCTTTTTTTATTATAATAAAATTATAAATTATATCAGAAATTATATCGAGAAGTGCTTAACACGTGGTTTCTGGTATACCTTAATCAATGAACGGGGTACTCGAGCGAATGAACCAAATCGTGCCTAAAGTATATGCACGTCGTTCGACAATAACCATTGACACGACGTACTGCGGTTTCGTTGGGAACGAGGACAAATGAGAATGGTACATACACATGCTCTCTGTCCCTCTTGCTTCCATTTGCTATTATCGTACCGGGGAATCTGAACAAATTGAATGCCGAAGAAGGATAGCATGTGGTAACTTGATGATGCTCGAATTCTGAGTTATGACGATGAAGAAATTAAATGAGTTTAAATATTCGACTTCCGACGCGGTAAATTTAAATCTGAATTAAAACTGTAAAATAATAAAGAATTTATTTACAATATTTACCCAGGCCACTTAAATATTTCATATAAATAAAAATAAAATTTATTTAAATGTACGTGCATCGATCTGACAACAACGATTACAAGCTTTTCTGGTCAATGAAAAAGAAGAAGAAGAAGAAGAAGAAGAAGAAGAAAAAAAAAAAAGAAGTATGTACAGAACCGAGTTGGTATGTTAATCGAGTTATTTCAATAATCGTTCCACTTGGCCGTGGAAATGAACGAGAACGTCCTTCCGCTTGATTACGGAATCTCACCTGTTGCCGGACTATTACTTCTCGCGTGGATTACGTAACAATTATTACGACAATCGATTACCGTTTTATCGAGGTCGTGGATGAACGTTGAAATCGATTTAAACTAGATAACGGCACATTGGGGCGTTCCGATAACTCGTAGCTTGCCTTCTATCGACTGTATTACTGGTCTTGTTCAGGGTTGTCTCAATCAATTATGCAAATTAGCTGACACATTAATTGTATCTTGAAATTTCTGTTTGTCTATTTCGCGCAAAACTGCTTGCTCAATGGATAGCAGGCAGCTAGTAACTTGTGAACGAATTTCATTGTTTTCTGATGATAATATTGCATTTCTCTAATCGGTATTTGGTTTTATTTAACATTCTTCCTGCCGTGAGCTAGGATCCTAATAAATTTGTAAATTTCTCGTCAGGTTTCTGTTTATACTCGTCAAGGGGAATGCGTGTAAGGTATGTTAATTATACGAGTTTAAAGAGAGAAAAGTATCTCGATAATTCTATTTAAAATTTAAAGCAACACAGATACGTCAGGTACAATCTGAATGAAGCGATCCCATAAAAATGTTACGAGCAGCATTACAAGCTCAGAGCCGTGAGATTTTACACCCCGATCAACGTAACGATTGCTGTTCGTCATTGTGTAAGATGCGGCCGGCTATCATCAGGTATTCTGTTGGCAAACATGTCATTAATCCGATTCGATTGATCGATAAGGTGAGGAGGGAGCCGCGCGTGCCACGATAAAACGTGTTGAGAACGATTCGATCGGAGAGGATCGGTCACGATTTCGTTTTTTCTTACCTCGAAACATGCTCTTCAAGAACGTACGCCGTGTAGCAAGGTACGAGAGCTATAGCCTTAACTACAATTATTAGAAAAAATAACGACATCTCAAAGTTTTTTATTCATTGTCAAATAAAAAACTAATCTGTTTAATTGAAGAAAAAATCTAGTCGAATAATTTTATTGAAGAAAATTTTTTCTTTTCCAATCCCCTTAACACTATTAGCATCATTCCTTTAGTGGAAAAATAAATCCTTAACCGTCAATTAAGAATCTCGTTTAGCCGAGATCAGAGTGGTTCAATTGTTTCTCTCTGTCTCGTTTCTCCGTACGGTGTACGCTATTAATCCGGTTTGCGATCGATCGATCCGGATCGAAGATTGTCAGCAGGAGTGGCACGTGCCCACTGTAAATATGGTAAATGACTCAATTGGAATTACAACTGGCGATTTTTTATCTGCGCCCAGCGTGCCACGAATCTGTACACGTACTCTGATGAATCACTTCTACCTTTTCCTCTTTAACCGTGTCAAAACACGGAAGTTACTTCATATTTCATTCTTTGCTTTATATACAATAATTTTTTTAGTCATTTCTGTTCTGAACTGAAAATAAATTTTCAGAAATATTCAAATTATCGTTCGATTAAACGACACTCGTACGACTCGCATTCCCGAACTGGACTGGACTGGACTCGCGGATTCCACATACATATAAGGTTACGCCCTTTTTGCAACGATTTGCTCGCCTTGTTGGCAGACGAACGTGTACTTGTTGCCACCAGCTTAGGCGAACCACTTGTGTTGCAAGGTGGCGGATTAAACTGCCTTTTCTTTTATTCGCCCGATGAAGACGTTCCTTCGAACGAGCCCGATCAACGGATAACTAATTGCTTCGAGATTCAGAAGATAAGAAAACACGAAGAATAATGCTTTCTTACAACTAGATCCTTCTATACATAACTTGACCCCATGTCTGTCTATAATTAATTTTCATTACATAAAAGATTTTTCATTCAAAATTAATTTGTCTACCTTTTTATTTCAAGTACAGCAGCAATATTGAACGATTAACATGTTCGTTCCGAGGGTAACCGAAAGTGTTAAATACTTAATTTTATTAGAATTTCTGAATAGAATTTATCTTCATACGACATCTTTTTAAATTGCCCTCGTATAAAAACACAAAATGAAACTGATATAATTACGGTCGTTTATGTAAAGAGAAGGTAAATTTAGCGAAGGAAAGCGTGGCAAGTGAGAAAAGCAAAAGCCGGTTTAGAAAAAGAAGGAGGGAAAGATTCGAAACACGGTGGCCGCGCCGCGCCGCGCCGGTGCATCGCGTTGCTTCTTCCCCTTTAATTGATGCGCGGCGAGGGTTGGAAACAGCAAGAAGAGAGCACCGGGCTTGAAATTGAAACGGTGAACGAGCGAGCTATAATTCACGGCTCGGGCATAATAATGTTTGCCTCGTCTTCTTCGCCTGCTCTGTACGCGTGCTTTTTTCTGCGTACACGCGTGTTGCCACACGTACTTACTTACTTACTTACAAGCCGACGAAAAAGGCGGCCAAGCTTCGTTATCCATTCATAAATCCCGTTAAAAGCGTTCAGACCCTCTCCCACCCTTCTCTACGTCCCGTTCAACGCACGCCGCGTCAGCACGTAATTAAGTCATTACACGTCCATTTTACACGGTTATGCCTCATTTTTCTTCCAGCCTGCATCCTGAATGAAATCTCTGCAGAATTTTACTTAGTCGCAACAAATTTCTTGTCCCCCCTTTTTCTTCTTTCTTTGATTGAATTAAATTCCAAGTTCTTTCACGTAAAAAGTAAGCTGTGAATTATAAGTATAGAAATATTATGAAATATTATGATAACTAAGCGTGATAATACTGGCAAAATATTCAGTAGGTATATGTATACCTACTAAAAATAAATAATTGCAAAATGAAAAAGAAAAGAAAGTAAGAGGAAGAGACCAGAAGTATTTTCGTATTGAAATAACAGGTGCCAGTGATTCATCGTGGCGAGCCAATAACGCCGGCGCTCTCGTCAAATATTTGTGTTGATTCGTTACGCGACGGAATGCGACGGAATGCGACGGAATGCGAGAGAATACGAGGGAATGCGACGCGGGAAGAGAAACGCATTTGAATAAAATACGTGTAGAAGAAAGAAGGGAAAGCCGCCGACGCGACGCGACGGGACAGTTATTAATCGCATGGCCGGCAATCAAACGTATGTATGTAAATATAATCAAACAATGTAATATAGGTGTTTCGCTCATGAAATATTTATTACGCTCACGACACGCGTACAGGTGAACGCACCTGTGGCAGAAGGTGTAATTAAGTTGTTCGACGTCACCCGGCCTTTTTCATTTCCGTCTCAGTAACTGGTTACCTACTGTTTTCCTCCAAGCAACGATAGCAATGTTTCCTTTCACAGAAGTGCGATTTACGATCGAAATCCTCGCGATAGATAGATAGATAGATAGAGTTTACCGTATAAGCTTTTCAGAATTATAAATCGATTTCCAGTTTTTTTATTCATCGAAAGTAATTCTTTGATATTACGATTTCACGAAGGTTTACGACTGGTCGAGCTTCGCCATCGATAAACGACCAAAGTTTTAGATATTTTCATCGACGCGGAGGGTGCTCTATCCGCCTCGACACGTTCGATCGGATATTCGACCAAGACACGCGACTATGCACGCGGAAGGGTGATGCAGACAGAGGAGAATTACCAGAAAACGGGGGTGAACTGCAGGTGTGTTGACGTACTCTCAAAGCTCTTCGGTACACAAAAGTCGACCCATTTTCCATCCTTTTCCCTGTTCTGTCCTTTTTTTCACGGTTGATGCACTTTCTCTCTCTCTGTGCCACCCCCCCACCTTTTTTTTGTTAGTTCATTCGCCTACCCATGCCAGCAGCCGTCACACTTGTTGCACGACAGAAAGGGAGAGGGAGGTTGAGGGAAATGGAGAAAGAGGGAGGCTGGGGGTTTGGTTGGGTGTGTAAGGTACACACATTGACAGCGGATTGACGGACTATGAGAGTCGATTAGGCGTGCACGCTGCAGAATGCAATGCTTGGGTTAAGCCGGGCGACGCTTCGTGAATAGGGGTAGGTAGATCAGGGTAATTACGAGCGCTTCGATTTCGAACGATTTAACCTTGAAGGACTTAAAGTTTTGATGCTGATCGTTATTTAATTATTTAACCCTTTCACTGGTATCAGTATCAGCTATCAGTAAATGACGTGTAACCAAAATTGCATCATGATCAAATTAAATCTAATTTTCTTCATTTTTAATAAAAACCGCAGGACCATCGCAGATAAAAGTTACGCCAATGGAGAGGAGTATGTTTGCACGCACAATACATACTTACCCGAGAAACGTGCCATCTTCCTCGTCCTGTTCCCGTTTGACGGCGAAATCGAGCATCACGAGACACGGCAGCACGTGGTTCCGCCGCCGCATTACCAACCGCCGTCCCAGGAATGTGGTCTGCAACATACAGGTTAAGGGACTCGTGAGGCGCCGTGCTCGTAAATCACTCAACGATCGTAATCGCCGGGTTCCGCGTGTACTCGCTAAAACATCGAGCTTTGGGTGAATGTGTGCGGGACACCGTTTAAACTGCGTAAGAAATTACTCTCGACCCGTATTCACCGTGTTACGGAAGGTAATGGATTCGCCTCATCGTCCAGTAAGATCGTTCAGAAATTCTTCTCAATTTTATATTATTAATATACTTTTGTTCGATTACGAAATAGAATGATTAGATAACCATTAAAAGTTTTTAGGATGATGATATTGCTCTATAATAGAATTTCGACTACTTTAAAGCAAAATTTGAAAAATTTGACTCAGACTAAATTCTTTTTTTAATTAAATTCAGTTTCTAGTACCTATAAAACAGTCAACGAGCTGATTTTCGCACGTCCTTGAATCAAAGGAGCCGAACATCCTTCTTCGCAGACCTCGTTTCATCGAAACGAATTCGTGATGTTTACAAAAGACGAGCTATCTCTGAGCCGTCGTAAGTAGGGATGAAAGGGTGTAAGAGGTTAGAGAAAGATGGAAGTGGAACGGAAGTGGAACGGAGCAGAAATGTTATCATAAGCGTAGTGAACTTGACCCAGTGCATGGAGTGGGCTCCTTTCAACCAGCACGATGATACCAAGTTACGGGCCGCTCGTGCGAACCCGTAACACGATAACAGCTGTTGCATACCTCTCGATTCGCGGGACAGCAAAAGTTTCGACGATCGCGTGCCTCTCTCGCGCGTACCCACACGGTCACACTGAATGTTTTCACTCTTTCCTCCTATTTTTCTCTCTTGCACGACTTTCCTCTCTCGTTGCACGACTTTTTTTCGCCCTCTTTCTCCTTCACCGTCATGCTTTCTCTGCCTTTTTTTTTTCACGGAACGGGCGAGAGACAGTTTGCGAGTTGGTAAGGGCGAACCGCAGAATCCGCGAGCGTATTCCATCCACGTCGATCACACGAGCAATCGCACGTGCTCCGAACGACTTTGCAAGAGAACTGAAAGAGGGGAAAAAGTTGTTCTTTCGAACAACGTGCACCGTGAAGGATCTTGACACACCTACCGACCACCACGCGACGTCTACGCCTTACGGAGACCACTTTACCCACTTCTTTCAGCCTTTTTTTCGATGCTGCCGCTTACACGCGTCCACTCTGCTACTGGTTGACGTTTTAATTCCTCACCTTCTTTTCTTTTCTAACTACATAATTTCGTCTACATTCAACAGAGGAGCCTGGCTCAATTACACGATATTAAAGGTATACGTACAAAGATATTGATCCAAAGTTAAATGTATAGTTCTTCCAAAAATTTAGGAAATGAAAATAATATGAAATACGAAATTAAATAAAAATTGAAAAAGAAAGCATCAACTTCAACAAACTTCAACAGTATGTAGACTTTCCAAGATATTCGTTGGTGTCAGCGACCCGAGGAGTTATTCCACGATCCCCCGAGAGAAAGGGAAAGGTTGAAGATGAATTGAGATCTTGGAACAGGTGTAAAAAGTAAAAGTGAAGTTGCCGGACCAAAGGATCCCTGGGGCTCTGGACAAGATTCAAGTGCCCTTTGGCGAACAAGGATGAGGAGGTAGAAAACGAAAAGGAAAGAAGGAAGGCGAGAGAAAGAGCAATATCTCAATAAGACATCGATCGCTCATTAGTAACAGAAGAACGGTTCTCGTGCTCCTTTTACTCTGGATCGCGGCGGGTACAGGGCAGTGGGGCGCGTATAAAGAGCCGAGGCCCCTTTATCGTGCACCACGCTTCATCGCTTCCTCGCTCGTTCGTCTTACTTTTTCCTCTCACCACGATAAACTTGACCCAGTGAATTAAAAACGGAACGGAACGGAACGGAACGGAACGGAACGGAACGGATTGAACCCCGTTCTTCGATGTCGTTCCACCGCTTTGCGGTCTCTGCCCGCGCTTCACGTGACCGCGGCAAAGTCACGCGCGTCCTTCGATGCGCACGTGAGCTCGTCAGCTATACCTGCACGCGCTCCTCTTCTTCGGGATGGATCGACGAAAGGGAAATTTCCTTGATAACCACAAACGGATCTGAGAAGGAAACTCTTCTATGACAGATAGATAATCTGATGGTACAGATTCCGAACTTGACCATTATCGAAAAGTGTTGGATCATAGCTACCGATAAGCTGCACCATCATCGCGATATAAACCCTTTGCTTCTCTTCCTGCACAGACAACTCTTTCTCCTCTATCTCGGTCTGGTACCACGAATCTGGAGCACGAGGCGCATCCGTTAACGAACCGTAGAAACGTGTCAGCCCGGTGCACGTGCTTGCACATCCTCTCCGTGTTGCGTGCACGGAAGCGCGTATAAAGCATACAGGAGGATACGTGCGCGCGACGGTCTCCTGCTAGTTTACCTCGAACCAGCCAAGTTCACCTACATTGGCGAAGGGTGACGGTGCGGAGGGAGAAGATTAAAGGGAGACACTAAGGCCAGATAGAAAGAGAGCGTGGTAGCAGGTGAATGAGCGAACGAGGGAGGATGCGAGAGGGATAGAGAGAAAGTTAGAAGAAGAAAAAGGGGCCAGGAGAATTTAAACCAAGCATTTGAAAGTTCGCAAACCCCCTTAGAACCAGCCTTCCCTACCTATTATCTCGATCGAGCATCGATCGCTGCTTTTTAACCGAAAGAGCCACTCTATCTTTGTCCTGCATTCGTGTCGAGGCCCCTTTTCGTCTTACCATCGGTTTGAACTTGACCCAGTGAACGGAGGAGAGCCCGGAGCAGCGGACGACTGGAATATTTCAGTTCTAGTTAGCTTCCACCCTTTAAAAGTATGCTCCAACTTGCCGTGTCTGCTCAGTGTCGTATTTGGCGACTGCGATGCCGTGTGTGCTTTGAATTCCATGAAATTCCCAGGAAGACTGATTATTTTTCAAGGAAACATTCCACGTTTTATTTCGACCACCATTTTGTTGGAATGGAACTCATCAAGGATTCGTTGAATCGATTTGCCGAATAGATGGATCTTTCATACTTCGGTAGAATGAATAATCAACTCTCGTGTCCAGGATTCAAAGATCAAGAATAAATATTAAAAAAGTAAACTGTATTTATCCTTCGTGTTTGAAACTCCGCTTCTCCTCTTTCATCTTCTTCCGTCCTTCTTCCGCGAGCTACCTGACCGCGTTGTTTCCGACGATAAACAAAGGAAAATAACGGGCAGCATAGGAGGAGAGGGAGAAAGAGAGAGAGAGAGAGGCAGAAAATAGCTAAAGGAAGAATGGAGGTCGACGAACGAAGGGTGGCGAAAGGGCAGGAAAAGAGAGAAAGGGTATATTTGTGTTGGGTGGAGGAAAGGGATGACGTTAAAAGCGACTCGAGGAGCTTGGCGGATATCCGTGATTCTTGGTGGTCGTGATTGCGTTGGTAGTTGTAGCATTACCACAAAAGGACGTGAAGAGAGTAAGATGCCGAAAGAGGAGGGACAAAGAGGGTGAAACGGTCAGTGTAACGGGAGTACGGATGTTAGAAGGAGAGAGAACGAGGAAGAGAGAAAATAGAGAGGCACGTCAATGGGCGAAGAGGAGAGAGGCCCACGTGAATGTGTGAATGAAGAAAGAGAAGGTGGATGAATGGGTGCATCTTAGGAAGCGGCACCCACCACCAGTCAAGTCAGCTGATATGCCACCCCAGTCCTCTTTCAGGCAATCCCAGACACCGACAGACGGTAGACATTGAATTTCAAATTAGCTACAAGTTAACCCCTGCCTGTGTTTTTCTTCCGCATACGTATGCAGAAAACTGTGAATGCCTGCTTGTACTCTTTTATTTTTCTTTTCGTTGCAGGGGGACCTCTCTTATCGAGAGGGTGCTCAGTGACGGTTAAGGTAATAATTTTAGTTTCTTAAATCTCAGTTTGAATAGCCCTGTATATGCAGTTGGTGTAAGAGTTAAAAATATGCATCTGAACGAGTTGAGCAGAGAGTGATAACGAATCCCCTGGCGTTACTAACGCTTTGCTAATGACACGACATTCACGATTAACTGTTGCCTGGGTGTTCGGTCGTAGCCGTGATGCAACGTAGGTCTGTGTTGGCGATGACGAGGGGTCAGGTTCACAGCACAGAAGCTATTAACGCTTCGCACACTGGCGTAAAGAAGCGCCAGGCGCCAGGCGCCAACCGCCTAGAGGCAATAAAGTAAGGTGGCTGCCAGCGGAGAGAAGCATCGGTGCGAGTGAAACGGAAGAGGGCGTATCAGGACGAGGGGGGCGGGAAACAGGGGGCCAGCGGGAATTTCAGGGTCGTAGGGAGATAATGCTTCTCTTACAACCTTTGTGAATGGAACGGATCGGTTCCCGCTACTACGACCTTTCCTGACGTAGTCCTACACTGATGAGTCAACGACCTCCTGCAATCCATTATAGAGCAAATCTTTGTCTGACTTTCTTTTCTTTTCTTTTCTTTTCTTTTCTTTTCTTTTCTTTTCTTTTCTTTTCAGCTCCATCGATGAAAAATTTGTGCAAATCAAGAAAATATGTAGTAAAGGAATTGGCAACATGGACGGACAGAAGATTATTTCAACACCTATTGGTATTTACGAGTATATCTATACAACATTTTGAGATCACCGTTTATATTTACCGTGGAAACATCACCCCTGCTATTAATCAATGCTTTTCATGTTAATATACAGAAAGAGAAGCACATGTGTGTCAATTACCGGTACTAAACATCAGCGAGCAGAGTGATGTAAAGAGTAAATATATATCATGATTCTCAATTGACGAAGAAAACTCGGCTCACCGAATGAAACCGTACTCGAGCTGAACGATAGTAGACGGCTTTCTCTGCACCGAGAGAGCTCACCTAAATCCCTTTCTGAACACGGCAACCCAGTTTTATCGACCGTAGGCGCCAGGCGCTTCTTTATGCCGCGGCGCGGCGTGCGAACCGTGAATGGCTTCCGTGAACCTGAA